AAGTTTCGTTTAGGTAAATCCATCATCCTTATACTCCTTTTGCCTCCCATTTCAATCTGCAGCCACCTGCTAACCCCAACTCTATAATCCAGTTTGTACTACAGATTTGGTTAACAAGTAGTCTACCAGATGAAACAAGGTGAGGTTCAGCCAACTAAATATTCATCAACCCAAGCTATAACATAACTACAATATTATTAATTGAATTTCATTGTATTTCAACAGGAAAAAATCTATGATTTACTGCATCTTTCACTAACAACTGAAGTACTGGTATTTTAAAAAATCAGCCGTTAGAGAGCCTAGAAACAAGCCCATGTACCTAGAGTCAACTAATCTACAGCAAAGGAGGCAAGAACATAATACAATGGAGAAAGATAGTCTCTTCAACTGTCTGGTGCTGCCCCAGTGAGTGGTGCTGGGAGCTGGACAGCTACACATAAAACAATAAATTTAGAACATTTCCTCACACCACACACAAAAATAGACTCAAAACACTTTAAAGACCTAAATACCAGACACGACACCATAAAATTTCCAGAAGAGGACGTAGGCAAAACATTCGTTGACGTAAATTGTAGCAATATTTTCTTAGCTCAGTCTCCCATGGCAAAAGAAATAAAAGCAAAAATAAACAAATAGGATCTAATTAAACTTAAAAGCTTTTGCACAGCAAAGGAAACTATCAACAAAACAAAACAAAAAAACTTATGGAATGGGAAAAACTATTTGCAAATGATACAACTGAAAAGGGGTTAATATCCAAAATATACAAACAGCTCTTTTAACTCAATATCACAAAACAAACAATCCAATCAAAAAATGGGCAGAAGACTTGAATAGACATTTTTTCCAAAGAAGACATACACATGACTAAATTGGCACATGAAAAGATGCTCAATACCACTAATTATCAGAGAAACGCAAATCAAAACCACAATGAGGTATCACCTCACAACTGTCAGAACGGCCATCATCAAAAAGCCTACAAATAACAAATATGGTAGAGGGTGTGAGAAAAAGGAACCCTCATATACTGCTGGTGGGAATGTAAATTGGTGAGATCCCTTAAAATACTAAAAATAGAATTGCCATATGATCCAACAATTCCACCCCTCGGTATATATCTGGAAAAAACAAAAACATTAATTCGAAAAGATACATGCACCCCAGTGTTCATAGCAGCACTATTTACAACAGCCAAGACAAAGAAGCCACCCAAGTGCCCATCAACAGATGAATGGATAAAGAGGATGTGGTACATATATACAATGGAATACTACTCAGCCATAAAAAAGAATGAAGTAATGCCATTTGCAGCAACGTGGATGGACCTAGGGATTATCATACTCAGTGAAGTAAGTCAGAGAAAGACAAATGCTATATGGTATCACTCATCTGTGCAATCTAAAAAATAATACAAATGAATGTATATGCAAAACAGAAACAGACTCACAGAATCACTATGCTGTATACCAGAAACAACACAATATTATAAATCAATTGTACTTCAATAAAAAAAAGTTATCAGTTAGTCTTTATTTAGTACATAAGAGATACATTACAAAGAACAAAAAGAAAACTGAAGGAAAATGCAATGTGGACAAAAATGAAAGTAAACAAACAAAAATCCTCACTGCACAAGTTTAGTTTTGTCTTTAAATACTGCTACCTATGAAGTGCCTCAGAACTGTGCACTGAATCACATGTGCTGAATAAATGATCATACATTTTGAATATTATTTCAGTTTTTCCAAATATAACTATATATGTCAATTTTATACAAATACATTCACATATAAAATAAATATATAGGGGCTTCCCTGGTGGCGCAGTGGTTGAGAATCTGCCTGCTAATGCAGGGGACACGGGTTCGAGCCCTGGTCTGGGAAGATACCACATGCCGCGGAGCAACTAGGCCCGTGAGCCACAGCCTGCGCGTCTGGAGCCTGTGCTCCATAACGGGAGAGGCCACAGCAGTGAGAAGCCTGTGTACCGCAAAAAAATTAAAAAATTTAAAAAAAAATCATCCCTGTTGGATCTGTGACTCACAGAATCCCTGAGGATAATAAATACGCCACTAAGTTTGGGGGTAATTTCTTATGCAGTCCTAATAATTGGAACAGAACTCTTCCTTATCACACAGCCTACTGCTATACAGGTGTACCAAAGTAAAAATAAAAACAAAATTTAGGCAAAAAATCCTCATAGGTTGGTGAAATCAATCCATGTAGTACAGATACTATACATTTAAAAATATTAATGGAAACAAGTTTTTGGTGAATTGATGATGAATTTAGGGCATGAGGGAGACAATTCCATAGTCTGGCTACAGTAAAACGAATGGCTGTGTAAACAGAACTTGAAGCAACACTTATGGGCTTACCTCACTCCTATGCCCACAACAGAGAAAGAGAAAGAGAAAAAAACTCATGAAGTTGTATCAACTCCTTTAGTACCACATTTTCTCTCAGGAAAATATAAAGGAAAAACTTTGATGAGATAAACACCAGATGGAAAAAAAGCAGGCTTTGGCAACAATGAATATTTGATCTGTGGTACAGAAATATTTTAGGGAAAGCAACGCCTGCAACAGCTAAGACGTTACAAATCATCCGCCGGTAGTCTCCAAAGGAAACTAAGTGGTTCTCCTTCCTGGTGAACAGAGATGCCGGTGAGCCTAGCAGCTGCCAACAGTGGGGATTTCTGAGACTTAAATAAATGAGAGAATAACTAGCAGAGGTTCAAGCTCCCCTACTAGTTTGCAGCCTATCATCAACCACTGCACAGGCTGTAAGCTACATAACCAGGGAAGCATTCATGTAGATTAAAATAATCAGCATCTGTAATAAAAGTGCAAAGCAACTCAGACACTCTGAATGATTCCAGCCCTGACACTCAGAGGAATAGACATACTTACAATGCAGGGGACACAGGTTCGATCCCTGGTCGGGGAACTAAGATCCCACATGCCACAGGGCAACTAAGCCTGTGCACCTCAACTACTAAGCTCTCGCACCTCAACTGGAGAGCCCGCATGCCACAAACTACAGAGCCCAGGCACTCTGGAACCTGCACACCATAACTACAGAGGCACGTGGGCCACAACTAGAGAAGAGAAAACCCTCATGCCACAACTAGAGAGAAGCTCGTGCGCCGCAATAAAAGATCCCACATGGGGGCTTCCCTGGTGGCACAGTGGTTGAGAGTCCGCCTGCCGATGCAGGGGACACAGGTTCGTGCCCCGGTCCGGGAGGATCCCACATGCCGCGGAGCGGCTGGGCCCGTGAGCCATGGCCGCTGGGCCTGCGTGTCCGGAGCCAAAAAAAAAAAAAAAAAAAGATCCCACATGCCTCAACAAAGATCCCGTGTGCCAGCAACTAAGACCCGACGCAGTCAAAAATAAATTAAATAAATAATAAATCTTTTAAAAAATCAATAAATATATCAATATAATATATAAAAAGATCTAAATATAAACAAAAATAAAATAAATATGCTAAATATATGTCTTCCTATAAAAGTAATTAAACAGCACATTGATTTCCACACTGAAAAATACAATACTATCATCAACTTAAGTGCCCAATAGGAAAATTATGTTAGATGGGAAATACAGCATAAACATAATGTGTGGTGAGAACATTTAAGATTTATCCTCTTAGCAACTTTCAAGTATAGAACACAGTACTGTTGCCATTAGTCACCATGCTCTACATTAGCTCCCAGAACTTATTCATCTTGTAACTGGAAGTTTGTCCCCTTTGACCAACATCTCCCCATTTCCCCCATCCCTCGGCCCCTGCCAACCACCATTCTGAGTTCAGCTTTTCTAGATTCCACATATGAGTGAAATCATACTGTATTTGTCTGACTTATTTCACTTAGCATGATGCCAAGGTCCATCCATGTTGTCACAAAAGGCAGGATTTCAGAAGATCAATATTTTATATTACTTCAAGATTTCAAAGTCTAGAAATACCTGTGTAACACAGCAGGAAACAAATGAAGGTGTTATCCTGGAGATGTGGAAATGAGGAATGAGGAATTCCAGTTTCAATATGGACTATATGTTAGATACTATTATTTTCATAATATTAAATTTTGGTGTGTGATAATGATATAGCTGTAATTTATGAGATCCTGAGGCTGCTGAAACACAGGTGAAGTGTACCACCTACTTTCAGAAGGGTCAGAAAACATAGAAAAAAAGAAAGATAAAGGAAATGAGCAAAATGTTAACAACAGGTCAATCTAGGAAAAGGGTAGGTGGGTATTCATGACACTAGTCTCTCCCCTTTCTGTAGGTGTGAAATCATCTAAATAAAAAAGAGAAATGCCTTTGCATATATCAAGACATGTTCACAGCAACATTACTGATAAGAGCCCAGGGTGGAAATGATCCAAATATACACAAACGATAAACTGGACAAATAAATGGAGATAAATAAATGGATAAGTAAACTGTGGTGTACTCATACAAGAGAGTACTACACAGCAATGAAAATGAACCAACTACTGCTAACACACCACACAGGTGAAACTCACAATGTTGAGCAAATAAAGCTGGACACAGGTAGGATGAACAAACATTTGTTGAATAAATGTTTCAGATAAGGCTCAGATAAGATCAGGGCTGCTATTTATCTTTGTTTAGCAAAAATTTTCTTCACAGACAGTAGAATAAGATCACAATGGGAATGTATAAATTATTTATGAGAACAAGATTCCTTTCCCACACCCTCAAGAACATTTATAAAAACCACCTACATACTATTGACCTGCTCCACTAATAATGTGCTGCTGGTTTGTCAACCCCTTAAAAGACCTTGAATTAGAATGTGTATTTGATAGTTACAAAAACCAAACTAACAAGACTTTCCTCTTCGAAGAAGGCTTTTCAAACTGTACTATGATTAAACAATTTTAGTTTTAAAATTTAATCTAAATTCAGATTTATAACCAGATTATTAAAATTAAAAAAGACATAAAATACTTACATTAACTTTGAAAGCCTGTACAGTGTTATCCAGAAGAAGGATGTTGCAAACCACCTCTGTATGCAGTCTATCTCGGGCCAACTCTGATGCTCGTACATTGTAGGTTCTGCCAGCAGGCAATCGGAAACGTGAGGTCATTACTGTCCACACAAGGTCTAAGTTGAAAAAAAAAATTAACTAAATAAAGGGACAGCTGAAGATACAAATTATTTATATAAAAAGGTACAAAGTTATTACATATTTTTCAATTAACCTCAGCTAAAAAGCAGTTACAAATTTTGAAACACCTGAATAGGAATTTT